AAAACACCCGAGGTGGTACTAGGGGTGCTGGTAAGAGCAGGCACCACTAGCACTCCCGGGGAGGCTCCATCTATTGGTGGGGAGCAGCACCTCCTGGAAATCGGGTCCAGCGTCCCTGAACATTATAGTTGATTATCTGAACATGAGGATAATTACAGATGACTTGCGGTTTTGATCACTATGAAACTAGGGGGCTCGTTCAGTACTCCTTGGGGCGTCGTCGGGACCGAAGGAAGTTTCCTTGGGGGTTTTCAAGGAAATTCCCGCCATCGTTCCACCTGTCCTCGGGGACGTCGCCCGAGGACATTTCCTTCAAACGATGTCAGACAAGAAAAAAGAAAAGAAAAAAAAAATCAAATGTGTTTGAGGCCTTCAGCCAATAGGGTGCCGCCACGATCCAGATTCTGGGTTGTAACGTCTCTCTACCCATGTGCCCGCTCCTCTCCGTGAAACATGGATTCCTTTTGCCCAAGGGACCTCGTGAGGTCCAAAAGGAAGAATGGCTGGGGAATCCTCGGAGCCCAAGGAATTTCCTTCGGAGTGTTTTCAGTTTTTTTTTCGGACTGCATCCCCGAGGATAGGTGGAACGAACAATTCCTCGGGGACTTTACGCGCCCAAGGAGTGTCGAACGAGCCCCTAGGGGATTAACTGCCCATCAGACTGCGCGGTGGACTAACCCTACACGGTGGATTATGTCTGACTAACCTTTTCATGGCAGCAGCGTGTCGATTCATCTAACTCTATGTAGCCTTAGTGAGAGGGAGTGTCCAGACCCCTCCAATCCAGAGAAACTCCCGTCTCACTCGCATATCCCATCCACACATCAGAGCACTATGGTAATATATGAATTATGAAAACGGTGACCCCTACCTGACTCATACCAAGAAACACACCACACATTGAAATTTGAATGTAATCCTTAGTATCCAATTGAAATTCTTCCAGACAAACCCTAAGGATGCGGGCGCTGGGCGGGCCAACCGTATTGTAAATTTCAGCAACGGGAGAGATTTGACTGCACAAATTGTGATCGTCTATTCTGGGAGGAAGATATCATCTGAGATCATCGTGGAAACAAACCACATACTAGTCCCCCTATGTCATCCCCCAAGAGAGAACCAGCTAGTATCCTTTCCTGGGGAATATACCCTCCCTCCCCCTTTGTTCCAACCTAACCTATACCCGCTCTCTCTCTCCCCCAGGGCACCCAGATTGCAGTGACGTAGGCAAGAGACGATAGAGACGAGGAGAACTCCTGCAAAATAGGGTGCAGCAGGTCAGTAGGGTTGCCCCGCGCACCCTCACCATCGGTTCCCATTGTCGCCATCTGACGGCTCTGAACTCAACACACTGATAGCACTTACCCGTGGATGCTGTCGGCGCCGCTGTCACCGTCTGAAGATCACTCCTCATTATTGTAGACGTGAGTTATCGCTGATGTCGCCGATGCTGCCCGTCTGTACGTTGGTGTCACTGTGCTGATCTCTCCTACGCGTGGACTCTCCACTCCGGCCGTGTTAAGAGGCCAGGAGATGTCAACACTCGAACTTGAAGGAGATCGCCGATCACGACGATGGCGTCTCCCTAGACTCCGTGTGGATCCTGGTGGACCGGCCTTGCTGTCCGCGGGCCGCAATGTAGAGGCTGGATTACAGACATTCTAACAAATAGCTAAGAATGTACTTTTTTCGAAGTTGCAAATGGTCGTTCGGACTTGGATCCAAGTTCTTTTTTTTCGTTTCAAGCCCCCCCCCCCCTTCCCCCCCTTTCTCCCAGTTCGGATTTGGATCCATATCTTGCTTAACCACACACATAACCCAACCAACAACTACTTTCACATACCATAAAATTGTGCATGCATTGTTTACGATTTGCAAAACTCTACGTTCATGCGCATTTCTTAAACTAAAATAATATATTCTAATAAATACTTTTAGTCTCTTAGAATATACATTCTCTTATTTTTATTTTCAAGTTGCGTGGGGCTGTTTGGACTAGGATCCAAATTCTTTTTTCTTTTTCAAGTTGCGGGGGGCAGTTCCCCCCCCCCTCCCCTCCCCTCCCCTCCCCTCCCCTCCCCTCCCCGTCCGGACTTGGGTCCATATCTTGCTTAACGACACATATAACCCAAGTTACCCAACCAACAACTACTTCAGTAACCCGTGTTCCTCAATAGTCTGGGGGCCCGAAACTGCGCCCAGACAACACAGGCCAAACACGTCCTGTGCCAGGCAGTGCGACAACACAGTGCCCCCTGGAAAGTCAAGGGTCCAAGTGAACTGTCAGGTCAAAGGTACCGCGCCAGGGCCTTGGTCAGATACACTTGTTGTGCGTAGGTACCCAGGGAATTCTGTTTCAGGCCAATCTGGGCCGTCTTTTGCGTTGAGATCTCGACAGCTGAGGGATGCAGCACCCGGGGTCCAGACTCCGCGTCAACGCTACATAAGCGTTGACCTCCTGGCTTTGAGGAACATTCGGTCTTGTGTTAATGCTGACTTCATGCGTTGACAACGACGCTAGCGTGACGCTGCGACGCTGGCTGGACGCTGGCTCTACACTGGCAAGTGGGTGAACTACAGCGACGCTCTGGTGGCTCGGCATGGTGGCTGGCTGCAATTGTTTTCTGGGCATGCTGACATGGCAGCTGTCACGCGCCGCCGCTGACGTGGCCGCTGCCACGTATATTATTATTGTTGACGTGGCGAGGCTCGAGACTGGTATTGTTGTTCTGTTTCGACAACATTCGGGAGGAGATCCTGACTGTGGGGCGATAGTGGATAAGTACATGGTTAGCTTGACGCCGACATTGCTCCAGCTCGCTGATGAGGACCGATTGACATACCACATGGCACATTGTGATAAAGCAAACAATTCAGAATTTCACAAAGGACTGGCTGGGGGAACCAATAGAGCGGTCCTTAGGGGAGGTAAAATGGTCAGGGACAGAAGAGACAGAGGGACCTTTCAAGAAGGATTTCCAACTGGCTATGTGTTCGCCTCGGCCGCGGCCGAGTTTACGCGCGGCCGCACCAGGGCCAGGCAGCGGCGTGTGCGGAAAAACGGTGCGCGCGCCCCGCCTGCGCACGTCGACCACTGCCACCCTGTACAAAAAAAAAAATAAAAAAAAAATGAAAATTTGTGGGGTGGTTTGGGGTGAGTGATAAAAAAAAAAAAAAAAAAAAAAATTGAATTAGATTGATTGACTGTTTTTTTATTGATTGATTGATTGATTGTTAAATTGATTGATTGATTGATTGATTGATTGATTAATTGGTGGGGAAGGGGTCCTCCCTCCCCTTCCCCCAGCACACGCGCGCGCATACACACGCACACACACACACACACACACACA